AAGACGTTAAATCGAGCTTATAAGATGTTTAAGAGTTATTCTAGTGTATTAGGTAATTTTTTTAAAAGATCTTAAAAAGTCAAAGTATTATAGGCTACTGGAGAGCAAATAAGATTTTTTTTTTAAAATACTTTTACCCACCTATTTATTTAAGGTCACATAATGAGTAAAATAGCTTGTAAGATCACTATCCAAACACTTGAAAAAAATAATTTTAAAAGTAAGACGTAACAACTTATCAGCTCTTAAAACAACTTATCAGATGTAAGAGTTTATCAACTGTGTAAAATAAGCTTAACCAAATTGTCTCTTAGTTCAAATCCGAATACCTAATTTCTAAAATATTCGATATCTCATAATTTTGAAGATCAATGTCACTTAATTCGTCATCATCTACCAATTTTAAACGATTGCATTCATCATCATCAATCGCAAAATCCAGCAAAAAAACGCCTCGAATTGGTCTTGAATCGCAAGAATCTATAGAAATGGAATTATGGTTGTAATATTGTGAGGGTTGGTGAAGAAATTGAAGAGAAAAATGTGAATTAGGGTTGGGATATTGAAGAAATCTGTTCTAAAACGTTTTTCAGAGTAGTTGACTGCATTTCTTCTTCTTTTTTTCTTCGTTTTTTTCATTTTTTTAAAGGTTGACTAATATCGTCAATATCGTATCGTATCGTGATACAGCGATACGATACGATATCTCGCGATATTTAACGGTATTTATCAATCGACGATACATAACCCGAGTTGTATCGTTTTGATTGGAACCATACCGTATCGCGATATATATCGCGGTATATCGCGAGATTAACTACCATGGTCTTGTCACAATTTCGACAATTTTTTAGATGGTAAAAAAGAAAATGCAGTGTCCAATTAATTTTTTGTCGTGAAAACAGAAAAGAACAAAAGCAGATTTGACAACTTATCATTAATTCACATGAATGAAAACAAGAATGTCTGTCCCCGCATTTCGATACCACGCTTTTTTCACCATCCGTTCCTTCTGCAAAAGCGCTTTTACATACGCTCCAAAAATTTGCATTATATATAAAATCTTTTTTCACTCCATTAAAATATTCATGATGTATACTATTAATATATATAGCAGGACAAACAAAATAAAACAAATTATTTTAAATTAAACATGTATGTATGTATGTATATAAATCAAGAGAGAGAGAGAGACGGGGTTTTTTGTATATGCATGGAGACAAGCACGCTTTTAAATGATTCGCGAATGCGACTATTGTTATCATTTGGTGATGAATGAATGAATGAATCCCAACAAAAGAAATCAAAGCCTCGAGATTTTGGGGAATGGGGTTCACAGATTCTTTTGTCGTGGTGGTACGGTGGTGCCAAAATTACCTCACACAATTAACCTGCAATACAAATTTGGGCGGTGGGAGCGGCTTTAATCGAACGGACTCTTAGATATAGCCCCTCGAAACATTTTAATAACACCAAAAACTCCAATTACATTTTTTTCATTAGACAAAAATTCTACTATATACTATTTGAGTTGTTCTAATACTACACTTCCCTTCACCCTATATGCCAATAGTTATCAGCCTACCTTACCCAATACAAAATTGCTCAAGTCTGACGATTGCCTCGGGCCTCGGATTTTTTTAGAATAAATAGAGGCCCCCACGCGCCTCTGCTGAAGTCGTCTTCTCCAGAATCACCACCATTTTCCCTCCATTGATTTAAGTATTGTTATATGATGATTTTACATAGTCAACTACATGATCCAGATAGTCGACTAATAAATTAATATTCGGTTTACTGTTTCGTCTAAGGTCCAATAATAGGTTTAATATTTTAGTGAACTATACTATTCTGATAGTCGATTAACGCAACAACATATTTGATTTACGTACAGTTTAACCTAGAAGTTCGCGAAAACAATACGGAGAGTTATCAATAATTCCCTCAAAAGATTAGATCTATTTCAAGTGCAATTTCAAAATCGCGGGAGTTTCACTAAATTTTCACCCTTAATTGAAACCTGGGACTAAGTATGTCCTTGTTGCTTAAAATTAATGTCCTTATTGCTCATGTAACTAGGTTCTATTAGTTTCTCTTTCTTTTGTAGAATTGCTTTTCATTCAACTAGTTTTCCACCCGTGCAATGCACGGGAACCCTTTAAGACTAAATTGTCGTATGCATAACTGGGGGTGGTTTTTTTTTTTTTTTTTTTTTTATCACATTGTCCTACCAACCCGTCCCCTACCGAATCCTCCCGATTTTCTACCGAATTATTACCGTACTGTACCGAAATGTTTTGGTAGGGCAACAACACTCAATATTATAAAAATGGTATTACCCTACCCTACCGAAATATTATTAATAAATAATAATAAATAAAATAAAAATTTTATAATTAACTTATTATATAAAAAAGTGAACATAATATCCTAACTAACTACTATTAGTTAAAATTAATTAATTATACACCTTAGGTATGTAAAAATCTTTTAAATTGCTTTCATTAATGATGATATAATTGATGTTGAAAGTTTTTATATTATAGTTTTATTTAAAACATATTTTATATTAGGTAAATTAAGAACATATATTTAGAATACTTATATTTTAAATACTAGTTTCAACATTTTAAATATGTATGTACCTTGAATTACTTTGAAAAAAACGATATTCAATTTGGACTTAAATAGTAGATAACATAAATTGGTAATTACCAATACCATGCTCTACCGTACCGAACATTTGGTATACCGAAGTTTTTGGTAGGGCAATGATAATGAATTTTATAATACCGAAATTTCGATAATGGTAGTGATTTGAGGGGCTTGGTACGGTTGTCCTACCAAACCCACCACTGCGCATAACACATAATTGAAAAAAAAAAAAGTATCAATAAATATAATTTAAGAGATATATCAATCATCAAAATAAATATAATCGACCACCCCTTCAGTGACATAACTCAAACATGGGCCCGAAGGAAATATTCATTAATATCGGGCCTAACGAACATCATAGCCCATATAAATGTTTAGTACGAACAAAATGAATTGCGTCCGTTGATCTTTGGGATGAATGTTGTAATGTAATATAAGCTCTTGATTTCTTTGTTTGTTTTTTTTTGTTTTTTTTTTCTAAGCTCTTGTTTCTTATTCGTAAAATAAAATAAAATAAAATAAAACATCTTGTCTTGGTTCTTTAGTTTAGATTTGTTGATTTTAGTAGACTGCTATATATATATATATATATATATATATATATATATATATATATATATATATATATATATATATATATATATATATATATATATATATATATATCCATAGAAGCTAATTGAGCCCATTTACGGTCAACATGGGGCATTGAGTCAAGAGAATAAAGTCAACGAGTCAATGCCCAAGTTCAAATATTAGAGCATGTTTTGCTAACTTATAAGCTTCTAAAAATCTCTTACAAAGATGTTTAAGAACTTATAAGCTGTTAAAAGGTGTTTGGTAATAAAATTACAAAAGATAATTTTTTTTTTCAAAAAATAAGCTGTTAGGGAGCTTATAAGATGTTTTTCTGAAAGTACCTCCACCCCACATTTTTTCTTTAAGATCTTATTTACCTCTTTACTAAAACACTCAAAATACAAAATTACTCTCAAATATTATATTATATTACATGAATCTACGGTACTTTTGCCCAAAATGGTGTGTTTTGTTTTAATTAAAAAAAAACAAACAAAATGGCTAAAACAACTTTGTTGTACTGTCCACTTGTAAAAAGAAAATCACTATAGGCTATGAAATAGAACGTATTTTCAATAAAAGTAGAAAATATATGTAAAAAAATATCGATATGCAATTTCAATGATTTTCGATTGCAATTTCTATGATTTTTGAAGTGACTGGATTGTGATGTATATATATCGATATGCTGTGGTGTGTAAGAAAATATATTGTTAAAAAAAAAAAAAAAAAAGATGAAAAAAAAAAAAAAAAAAAAAAAAAAAAAAAAAAAATGGCGAAAAAGAAAGGACACAAGACGGCAGGTGCAGCGCTAAGAAGGTTAGGCTAAACACAAGAGCCTATGTTGTTTTGCATAGTTAATTTGTTAATTGACTATCAAAATTCTTTAGTTTTTAAATATTAAATCTTGAAACAATAAGTCGATTTTAAAAGAAACATAGTTGATTTATTATTAGACTAGCGGGATCTATCTTGTAGTTGATTATGTACATTGTCACATAACAATACTAGAATCGATGGAAGAAAAATGGTGGTGAATCTGGAGAAGACGACTTCAGCAGAGGCATTTGAAACGAAGTAGCCATACTTGAACGATTTTGTGTTCGGAGAAGTAGGTTGATAATCATGGGGAGGACTGACTTTCAATTTTTCCAAATAATTTGAAACATAACTTTAATTAGTTTTTACTTCCTAAAAAGATAGATTTTTCCCACAATTTTTACCCCTAATATAGGGGTATGAACGAGCCGAGCTCGGCTGTTTTGGTAGGCTCGAGCTTGACTTGTTAAAAAGCTCAAACTCGAAAAACTCGAGATCGAATTCGACATTTTTCCGTCGGTTCATCGCTCATAAGTCGGCTCAGCTCGTTTACAACCCCTACCCTAATATACACAGAGACACTTATCCCATAGCATCTTTGCCCTGCTCTTAAGAATCATGACACTGTCCGAGTTTGCTTCACTTTCACACTTCCAACAATTTCAATTTCATCATTTTTGTACACCGTTGGATTTGGGGAATTTAAATGATTACATACCTAAATCAAGAATCTTTGTCATTTACAATAGTTTTAAAATATTGCAATTTAATTGATCAAAGTGAATTGATCAAAGTGTCTTGTTAAAAGTAAAAAAAAAAAAAAAAAACAAATATTACAAGAACATACAGCTTTGGATTCCCAATTAAAATGAAAAAGTTTTTGTCTCTCAGAATCCAAAGCAATTACTTACAAATAAATTCCACAAAGGGTAAACACTAACATACAAAAAACAAATTAAATAAAAATAATAATAATAATAATAACTTGGAAGAATACATACTTTGAGAACCTGTTTTAGTTACAAACCTGTTTTTAAAGAGATAATTAATCTTCCTACAATTAGAAAAGCCTTCCATCAACTGCTAATTCAACAAACTGAAAAATACAACCAAACCCGAAAAAAAAAAAAAAAAAGAAAGAAAACACCCATTATATATAAATAGAAACGCCCGTTTTTTTTGTTTCTTAAATACATCACACGATTCCAAATCGAAGAACTTATGGCATGCGTATCGTTTCTATGTTCTTGCTCAGCTCCTCCAGTTTCTTCATCCTCAACCTCTCGCTTTCGCTCACCAGCTGCATATATACATACAATCATCAAAATTCAAATTCAAGCAATTACAAATTACGCACGGGAAATTTTTAAACCATAAAAAAAATTTAAAAAAAAATCGATTTTCAAGATTCTCCTCACCTCCATCAATCTAGTGATGAGTTGTACTTTTTCTTTGTTCTTGTCATTGAAAGCTTCAAGAGCATCTTTGTATTCTTTCTCCTGCGATAATAGATTCGAGTCCAATTACACCGAATAATTATCTTTTTTTAATTTTCCTTTTAAGTCGAATCTATCCATCAATTTTATTATAGAATTTAATGATGTTTTTATCAATCCGAACAACAAAAAAGAGTAGGAAACTAGGGATAATATGATCAATCACCTTCTTCTGGCAAGTGAGGCCAAGTGGTTTTAACTCCTTGTTAACCGAATCGATCTTCTTACGAACAACCGAGACTTCCTTCCTCATCGGATCGGACAATCCTTCCAATTCCTGAAACATTCATTTCATTCATTTATATATATATATATATATGTGTGTGTGTGTGTGTGTGTGTGTGTGTTCATATACATGAATATGAACAGTAACTTCTAACTTCAACAAGAGAGAATAATTGAATCATTAAATTGGAATAAATTAGGTTTTAAGTTTTATTTTAATTTTTCTTTTTTTTTTTTGGCTGAATCTACTTGGTTCAGGTAAGCATATACTTCAAGAAAAACTGAACCCACAAAAAAAAAATAAAAAAAAATACAGTAGATCTCTGGGTTCAATTCCACAAGATTCACAAGAAATTAAGCAAAATTTCAGCAAGATTTCAGTTTAAGGAACAAACTTTGCCCTAAAAAAGACAGAAACCTAAGCAAAACAAAAGGGGGGAAAATTGTAATAAAATTAAAAAAAAAAAATTACAGAGAGAGAGGGAGAGAGAGAGGAGAGAGAAATAACCTCGCGAATGGTGGCCAAGCGCTTGGTTTCTTCCTCAATACGGCCGAGCTGAGCTTGAACTTTCTCCTTAACTTCCATCTTCTTCTTCTCAATCTCCTCTTCCTTTGCCCTAAAAGTTGAGAGCGCAGATTTGGACATCTCCTCGTCTTCCTTGGACAAGGTCCCGTTGAAACTCAAGCTGCCCGAAATCTGACCGACTTGCATCAGCGACTGCTGGTTTTCCAGTGTTTTCTGCGTCTGCATCATTGCCATTCTTCAAACCCCCTTCTTCTTTCTTCTTCTCTCTTGTTTTCTTCTTTCTCTCTCTCTCTCTCTATGCTCAGACTTTCCCTCTTTCTCTCTCTAACTCTCTTTGGGGGGTTTCTTTCTTTCTTTGTTTCTCCTTTCGCTTTTGCTTTTGCTTTTGGAAATGGTGGTGATGATGAGAGAGAGAGAGAGGCTGTTTGCAGGTGCTTGTGAACGAGGCTGCGCTGCTGCTCTCTCTCTCTCTCTCTCTCTCTCTCTCTCTTTAAACTTATCAACTCAACCCCACTCTTCTTAATTGTTTAATTAACTACTTAATCTTTCATTAATCATACTCTATTTTTTTTCCTAGCCCAAATTACAGTCACCCCTGAAGTATAGACAAATTGCGAAAAAACCCCTATTGTTTGGGTAATTACAATCACCCCTCCTTTTAAATATTTTTACATAAAATTTATGTAGTTCGGTTATTTACCGAACCAAATCGTATATTCTATTGGCGTAACAAAATTTCGGTTCGGTTTTACAGATTTAACATCCATAAATTTATTTCTGAAGGGGTATTTTCGTAAGATAATACATAATTAAAGAGGTGGTTGTAATTATCCAAACATGAGGGGGTTTTCGTAATTTGACCGTAACTAAGGGGTGACCGTAATTTGCCCTTTATTTGTATCAAATATTTTATTGCGTTAACAATGTTGGGTCTACTTTGGTTGTATCTACTAAAAATTGAATTTCACAATTAAATGTTTAGTCATGCAATTAATTTTGTAGCTAGTTGCAAAATAATTTATTCAATAAAATCAATAGTTACCTAAGATGCATGGAACTTTCATGTAAAAGTTTCCGTGTTTTGGGTACGTTTTGGAAACTGAAACTCCATGACACCTGCACGAAATGTTTCGGGGCCGTTTATTATAAATACCTAAAAGATTTGGAGATGTTCTAGTAATAGTAAAAATATGGAAACTCGTTTCTGCTAAAAAAAATAAAAAATCTATTTAAAGTAAAGACTTAAAATTGCATATGTTTGAAAAATCTTAAATCTTGTGTCTCCTTTTTACTTGTAGTGGCCTTTTGATATTTTTATAGATTTTTAATCGTATAGTAAAACAGATTTTTATGTCCAATTGTGAATTTGTGCTTTGATAATATGGATTGTGACTTCTAAGTTGAATATAATTTGTGGGTCTACAATTGACGACGAGCATATATGTTAAACGTTTATAATATTTTTTTTGGAATTTATAAATATACCACTATACTTTTAATGTTTACATGTTTTCCTATGTTACAATATCCAAATTTTTGGAATACAGGATTTCCCCATTGTTATGTGTTCCATTTTGTTGTGTCGGTGTTTCTGTGCCCGTGCTACATATATAATTACCGACCTTGCAATTGTTTTGTAGGTAATTAGAAAAAAGACATTTTACTTCCTTAAAATGATTCAATTTGTGATTATGTTAAATTGATGATGCTATTGGCAAACCATAATCAAATCTGAAATAATTTAATATTAGGACCTCATTCTCTTACTACTATTTGTTTTGCGCGAGACTATGGTATAACTAGAATTACATTATACCTATGTAGCACGAACGCGGAAATAACGATACAAAGAGGAAACAATATGTTCCAAAAATGGGAATACATAAATTCAGGGGAAACATGTAAATATAAAAAAGGACAAGGATCTATTTAAAAAATGCAATATAAACATATATAAGTTTTTATTTATATATAATTTTTTTCTTATTCTCATACAAATATATTTTGCTATGAATTGCAATTGATCATTAAATGATGTAAATAATTAGGGAAGCAACAAAACTATTTAAAAATTCGCTATTGAAAAATGTCTCTGATTTTTTTTACAAAATGAACCAATTTTGGTTCGGTAGGGTTAAACACAAAAAAAATTTTTTTTTTTTTTCTCCCAGTCACTTTCGGAAGAGGCCCGATAAAGAAAGATGCCGGATAAAGAAAGATGCCCGAAACCGAAAGATTTTTAATAAAGAAGGTTGCCTCTCGCAAATAAAGAAGTCTCTTGTCGGTAATCAAGATGATGCCGGTCTTTGCTTCGGCGAAGCCCGGCAACATGCATTCTTACGGGTTGGTATGGTATGATAATTTGTGCTTGTCGGACCATCATTGGGTGGAGTTCGGTCGAAGTCAGCCCCCGATAGGCGATTGGAGTGTCGAACGGCTGTGTTGCGTTGTGGGATGGCTCTCATTCGAAAATGGTGTGGTTAGTACGAGTTATGCTTCGAAAACCACTCTGTCGAGGAAGTGAGTTGTCCTTCGGGCAATGCTGTTGGTTTGCGCGTTGCCTATTGGGAAAGGTTGTCTCGCTCGTTTCTCTACTCCGGTGATGCATGATGGGCATGATTATTTGTGGCTCTCGAGCGAATCGGTGCTAGTAGGTGATGGGAATATAGGCGATGCGTTGCTATACGGCAGTCGGTGCTTCGTGGGATGGCTCTCATTCGAAAATGGTGTGGGTAGTACGAGTTATGCTTCGAACCCCGCTCTGTCGAGAAAGTGAGTTGTCCTTCGGGCAGCGGCTGTTGGTTGGCATGGTTGCCTGAATGTTGCGGTGCTCATTGGAAGT